TTTGTGATTTCATATAAATTTTAGGATTATTTGTTCTAGTTCTGTGAAAAATGCCATTGGTATTTTGATAGGAATTGCACTGAATTTATACATTGCTTTGAGCAGTATGCACATTTTAACAATGTTAATTCTTTCTATCCATGAGCACAGTATATGCTTCCATTTATTTGTATCTTCTTCAGTTTCTTTCTTCAATGTCTTATAATTTTCTGAGTACAGGTCTTTTACCTCCTTGGTCAAATTTATTCCGAGAGTTTTTTTTGTTTGTTTGTTTTTGCAATTGTAAATGGGATTGTTTTCTTTATTTCTCTTTCTGGTAGTTCATTATTGGTGTATAAAAATGCAACCAATTTCTGGATATTAATTTTGTATCCTGCTACTTTACTAAATTCATTTATCAGTTCTAATAGTTTTTTGGTGTAATCTTTCATGTTCTCTCTGTATAGTACCATGTCATCTGTAAATAATGAGTTTTACTTCTTCTTTTCCAATTTGAATGCCTTTTATTTCTTTTTCTTGTCCGATTGCTGTGGCTAGGACTTCCTCATTGAATAAATATTTATTGAGAACACACTGTGTGCCCCACACAGCTAGGCACTGGGCATATAAAAAGTGCTTCTGTCCTCATAAAGTTGACACACTGAGCCATTTTGAGCCCACCTGGCCCAGCCATCTTCACTTTTGTCTTAGCAAGCGGTCATATTCCCCTTATGTTTCTAAAGCATGGTCTCTTTTTCCTCTGTGGACAGGCCATTCTTAGTCATGAGGGTGGCCCGTGATCATTTCTGCATCTTCCTGACTTCATGCAGCTGAGAGAAAATTTCCAGCCCAAGACAGAGTAATATTTGCACCCATAGCCCTCTCCTGCTCTGTCAGATTCCATCCCAGACATTTATCTCCTTCTTCAAGAAATTCTGTGGACATGAACAACCTCTGGACAATGAATGGGGCATGGAGAGGCATGATGGGACTACAGAACATTGTCATGTCAGTAGCTGGTCTGTATTGCAGTAGAGAGAACCCAGGTTCTAGAATCATATAGAACTGGGTTTGAATCCAGGATCCGTGACTCCAAGACTGTGTGCCCTTCAGGAAGTATCTTAATCTCTGCAAGCCTCCATTTCCCTCCTCTGTGACACAAGGACAGTAATTCTCTTGTAGCAGAGTGGCCATGAGAGTCAGAGATCATACAGCAGGTGCTAAAATCTTGTTTCTGTTCTAGTGACGTCAGTGGAGGGTTGCCGAGCATGAACGCAACTGTCATAGCCTGGAGCACTGCACTTACACCAACGAATGAAAGTAACCAGGCCATTCCTAAATGTGATCCGGTGATGCTGATCCCAGCCCTTCCAGTCTTCATCATTTCCCTGATTGGGCTGGCAGGAAACACGGTGGTGCTGTGGATCCTGAGCTCCCACATACGGAGGAACACCTTCTCTGTCTACATCCTCAACCTGGCAGGAGCTGACTTCCTTTTCCTCTGCTGCCAGATTATTTGTTCACTGGAGATACTCATCAAATATTTCCATTCCATCTCCATTGGCATACCCTGCTTTCTCATTACTGTGTCAATCTTTGCCTACGTTGCAGGCCTCAGCCTTCTCAGCGCCATTAGCACTGAGCGCTGCCTTTCCGTCCTGTGCCCCATCTGGTACCGCTTCCACCGTCCTAGACACATGTCAGCTATCATGTGTGCCCTACCCTGGACGCTGTGTCTGCTGCTGAGCACCCTGAATGGAAACTACTGTGGCTTCCTGTTTAGGAATCGTGACAAAGATTGGTGTCAGGCATTTGATTTCATCATTCTTGGGTGGCTGATTTTCTTATTTGTGCTTCTCTCAGGGTCCAGCCTGGCCCTGGTCACCAGACTGCTGTGTGGCTCCCAGCGGGTGCAGCTGACCAGGCTGTATGTGACCGTCCTGCTCACAGTGCTGGTCTGCCTCCTCTGTGGCCTGCCCTTTGGCTTCAAGTGGTTTCTGTGGTATTGGATGGAACATCCTTGCAGCATGTTCTCACATTTTCTTAAAAGGACTGGTATTATCCTAGCTAGTCTTAACAGCAGTGCCAACCCCATCATTTACTTTTTTGTTGGCTCCTTTAGACAGCAGTGGAAGCAGCAGCATACCCTGAAGTTGGTTCTCCAGAGGGCTTTGGAGGACGTAACCGAGGAGCAGAAAAGTAGAGGAAGCCTTCCTCAGGAAACCAGGAAGATTTCGAGAAGCAATTTTATGTAGTGATTCTGTATCATACAGGGTTCAGTCACAGAAGTAGTACTTATAAAAGTTTATGTGTACAATTGTGTAAGGACACACACACACACACACACA